AGTGATACAGAACTCCTTTGAGAAGATATACACATTGTAATGACTCCAGGAGCTGAAACTTTTGAGATGAGTATCAGAGCAACAAAGTAACAGTGAATGCAAGGAGAGAAGGAAAAAAGAGGAGGAGGAGGAGGAAATGGGATATGAGCTAAAAGGAAAACAATAAAGGAAAAGTATAGGATAGAAATTCCTATACCATAGTCTTTAAGCAATTTCTATTAATTTGTGTGTTGGGGAAGCAATTCAAAATAACACAAGTACATTCTTTTTTTTTTCTAACTCAACTGTTACAGTACAAATATTTATCAGTGGATAGTAAATTAAAATCTTCCTTAACACTCCCCTCCAAAAATCTTTCTTCTCTAAATGAATTTATCCAGTACAGCAGTGGTTCCATTATATCTTAAGGGCCTTAATAAATTCACTATATTGGATCCTCCTTGTTAGGATGAAAGATCCCAAAGTCACGAAATAAACAGATATGAAAAGGTGGGCCCCACAAAATTTCTAAGATGCAAGTGTTAATCAGCAATATGTCATTTAGGTGTGATCTATAGATGCAGAACCTGAAACAGAAAAGCAAAAGGCAGATGATTTATTGAAGGCAGGTCTTGGGAGAAGGATGATGGAGGGAGCAGGAGAAAGCAAGGAAGAAGCTAAGTTTGGGTGTGGTCCCCGCTGGAGACAAGCCTCAGCCTGATCTCCTGGGCTGTTCCCGAGGCTGAACTGTAGCATAACTTTAGTCCCACTTTAAAGCCAGGAGCTGACCTTCTGTCCCCGTGTATCAGTCGGTTACAGGCTGCCTCTCGAGATAAGATGTGTAACCTCAGGCTCAGCCAAGGGCAGTCTTTTGGAGAAGGAAAAAGCCAGTGAGCCATCAGCAGCCCACAGTCACAGCAGCTGGCAGCTGGGTGCACCTGCAGGTAAAGGGCATCTGGGGGGGTGGGTGCCTGACTCCAGCTGTGGGCAGGATTTGGGTCTTCTTCCCTGGAAAGTTCCCCAGCCCCACACAAAGTCAGACGGTCAAGATGGGGCCACGCAACTCTGTATGCCAGAAGCATCCAGGCAGCCAACCCAACCAGGACACTAAGTGACACATTCTCAGCTCTACTTTTTGGCTGTCCATCCCTTCCTAGAGTCACAGTTGACATAGTCCCGGCCACTGACTCTTGTGATTTACCATCAACTCCCAGCCCTCTCTACCATCTCAATACTGGCTTAGGGGCTCTTGGCCACCAGTTTACCCCAAGGTGGGCCCTCTGTCTCGGCGAATCTTCATCCCTGCTGAGATCTGATCTGAGAGGCTACAGGAGACTCTAGGCTTAGGAAAGACATGGGACACTGGAGCCCGAAGGACTTCAGAGACTCATGTAGTCCTCATGCAGGCCACAGGGTCCACGGTGGGGAAGGGCCTGGCCACATGACTGGTCTAGTCTCTCACCACAGAGCCCTCAAGTTTTTTTAATACAAGCACTAACCAGCTCCGATGTCCACTCCTGGTCCAAGTACCTCTGGTCAGAGTTTTAAAGTACATAGGTCAGTCTCTTAGAGGCAGGGACTGCAGATAGAGCACGCAATGAGCATCTATTCATCTGGTCCAAAGACAGCTTATCCACTGGCTGGCCAAGAAGAACCAACCAGATTTTCCCCCTCAAAAATGTAAAATGGTATGTTGTTGCTGTTGTTCAGTCGTGTCTAACTTTTTGTGACCCCAGGGACCACAGCCCTCCAGGCTCCTCTGTCCATGGGATTTCCCAGGCAAGAACACTGGAGTGGGTTGCCATTTCCTTCTCCAGGGGTTCTTCCTGACTCAGGGATTGAACCCACGTCTGCTGCACTGGCAGGTGTATTCTTTACTACTGAGCCACTGAGTCCTTGCCCCCCACCCACCCAAGACTGGCATTTTGGTAAGGTTTTTTGTTTTTGCCATACCGCACAGCTTGTGGGATCTTAGATCCCCAAGCAGGGATCAAACCCAGGCCCAAGGCAGTGGAAGCACAGAGTCCCAAACCACCAGATCGTCAGGAAATTCCCTTTGTAAGGTACTTGAAATTCTGCTACGTCCAAATGACAATTAACTAGCTTCTCAGTTTCAAAAATCTAGCCTTCCTGTGAACTGGGTAAGAAATGGTAGAATCTGTCTAAGGAGCTCGACAATTTAATGCATTTTGCCATGGAGATTACAGCATGGGGACAGGGTCTGGCTTGGGGGGGAAATGAGTGCTCATTGAGCATTCTGCTCAGGTCACTACCCATTATCCAGGGGGTGGATGATCCAGTTTGGGGATTTTCCATGCCTCTGGCTTCTCCTCCCTTCTACTGTCTGCCCTTTGGCCACATTACAGATCAAATTAGAATGTCTTTGAGAGGATAGAAGGGGAAGGGACAGGTAGAATTCAAATTGGTCAATTTTGCAGCTTGTTCGCAGTTCTAATGCATGAGATCAAAACCAGAGGCTAACGTGGGGTTTTGGATTATCAGTGGATTATATTGAATCTATAACAGACCTCCCCTCCATTCCTAGAGAAAATTGGAGTCTGATGAGGACTCACTGTATTTCACATGGACGTCAGGGCTCAGCACCCAGAGGCTTGTGCAGAATCCCAAACACAAGCGTGTTAGAAGTTCCGAGCTAGAAGGGGCCTGAGAGATGATCCAGCCTTGGAAAATTGAGGCCCTGAGATCTGAAGCGAAGTGTCCAAAGTCAGACTATGAGATGACTGCCAGTGGCTAGTGGACAGCTTGAGAAGGGAGTTGAAACTGGCTAATTCAAAAATTAAAAATCTGTGGCAGGTTGATACATGACATATTAATTAAATGTGCCCTTTTTTGACCCTCTGTGGCTTCTTGTTGGGACTCTCCACCAACTGGGAACTAAAATCAAAATCATCCACTGAGGCACAGATGCCTCCAGCACTGGTAACAGAACCCCTGACCCTAAAGGACCCAGCTCTAAGGATGTGGGGGCCATTTGGCTGGCCAGAGGGGTGTCCCCTTCCTCCCTCACTGCTCCATGTGCCTCCCTCCTGAAGCTGTGTGCTTGGTCAAAGAGGACAACCTTCCCAGGTAGAAGAGAATTGGTCTCCAGTCAAGGGTATATGAGCAGCGGCACTCCCTGGCTAGAAGCTCCAAATAAGAAGATGGAGACTGGACAGATGGATGCAAAGGGGTGTCAGGGGGCAACACTCAGATTTTCCTTCTGCCTGACTGGAGGAGAGCAGAGCTTAAAGATGAGAATGAGAAGCCATGTGTCTCACTGAACAGACACACATCATCATCACCATTATCTTCATCATCACCTTCTTCTCCACCATCATCCTTCATCACCATCATCCTTGGAGAGAGGAGAAATAGAAGCGGGCTCTTTGGGAGGTCTGGGGAGAGCTGAGAGAGAAGAAAGGCCTTTTGCTTTCCTTCTGGATTCCCCAAGGTGGTGATTTCACCCAGGTACCTCACTGGAGCCAGCAGGGTGTAAGGGGAGCTGGTACAGAGGAAAGGGGGAAGGTAGACAGCATTCTCCGTGGCCATAGCATCATAAGGAGGCTCCAATGTTTCCCACAACCCACCACCATGGAAAGAGCCACATGCTGCCTTGGGAGCTGCCAGGTGAATGAGGTGATAAAAGGAGATACCTACCAAATGGAGGGAAACAGTTTATGTTTTGAGGGTCAAAGGGAGGTGTGACTGATTTGGTTCCAGGGGAGCCTTTTGGAGATCAGACCACCCCCAGGCCACCCCCAGAGTACGAATGACATGAGCACCATGCCTCAGCTAGGCTGTCAGCATCCTGTCTCCTTGTATCAGGGAAGCCACCCTTACCCCCCAGGCAGCAACCAAAACAGTGAGTGTTCCCTCCTCACCTACGCAGGTCACTGCAAATCGTCACTCACTCATGGACTGCTCCTAAAGCCCAGCAGTTTAGGAGAACCAGGTGGAGAGACACAAAAGCTCATCCTGTCATCCGGAGCTGCATCGGGTGCACATTGTCAACTGTAGATCCTGAACTGACCCCAGAAATGCCTGGAATCATGATGTGGAACTGGATGCAGTTTCCTGCCATCCAGGGGAGGCGGAGTTTAATATTTCATGGAGGAAAAGAAAAGGTTCCCTAACTGTACTTGGGGTCTAGAGGGCTGTTTGGACTATGAAGTCCGCCATCCGAAACATTTGCCGTTGAAGGGGTGGCTGTCCTTCATCTCCTGAAAGCAAAGGAAGCACACGTGGCCTCAAACTGTGGCTGAAGAGACAGCTGAAACCACCCAGCAAGCCTCCAAGGACAAACTGGTGAGAGGCATGGGCACCCAGTGAGCAGCGTGATGCCCACCTCACGGTCGTTGCCTGCACCATCCTCAGCACCCCTCTTCGGAAGGTCGCCACAAGGAGGAAGTGCTAGAAAAGCAGCTGGCATGTACCAGCATGGGCACTTCCATTAGCTCTCTGAGATGCCAAAGCCCTTTCCTCTAATGCTAGGGGCCTCCCAGAGTTAATTAGAGAAGCGGAGAACCATGCTCCACCCCTGGCCTCTCCCCTCCCTCATAACCACCCCCCCACCAGGCACTAGAAGAGCAGGAAGGTCAGCAGCTGCACACACGAACACAGCCCTGCCTAGGAACAGGGAACCCGAGGGATGCAGCGATGGCCTCTGGAGGGGTGACAACTGGGTCATCCTGGGAGTCCGAATGCCCACCCTCCCCTTGAACCATGCACGAGCCCCCCAGAGGGGCTGGGTTGTGTCTTCCCCTTGACAAATCACATCAGCCCCTTGGGAGGGCCACGTGCTGAGCGTGGCAGTGTTGACACAGCAGCCGCTAGACACGTCCAGGGGAAAGCAGGCCCCAGCACATGAGAGGAACTTTCTCCCAACAGCGCGGTTTCCAACGTGTCAGAAAAACAAGCGTGGAGAAGTCTGTCTGGCTTGTGTGCATGCGTACACCCCTCTTCCGGAGCTGAAAATGCAAGCTGGCCGGAGCCCCCCTCTTGCTTTTAAAACAAATAAACAGTCAGGCCTCGCCTCCTTGAGTCTGGTTCTTTGAAACCCGAAGCGTGGACAATGGGGGCTCTTTCAAGCGGCAGCCCCCGGGGCCACGTGATGGTGCCTGTGTGCGGAGGAGGCCGCTGGGGGCTGCCTCCGCTCTGAGCCGCCGGCCCGCCCCTCGGCCGGCCTGCCTCCAGGCCCTGGGCTTGTCCTCTTCCACCCAAACGTCTGAGTTCCTGTTCCCAAAATAGCTGTGCGGAGGAAACCGCCGAGACTCAGGGCCCAGGCAGTGAGCGATCCTCAGTCCTGCAGGAGTGCCAGAAACTGGCAGGGCCGGGGTGGAGGGCGCAGGGGGCAGTGAGGGCCCGTCACTCCTGCAGTTCACTAGTCAGGGCTGCAGTTCACCAGCGGGGGGGACGCCAGGAGGGCCCTGGGCACCCGCTCCCCGAGCTCTGCCCACGGGACTTCTGATTTCCCCATACGAGCAAGGGGAGGGAACAGCCCAAGCCTTCTCTGCTTTCCCATCCTGCAGGAAGGAAGTCCTCCTTTCTCTCTGTGGCAAAGCAAGCACCCTAGCTGCTCCCCACCTCCCACCTTTCCAGAAAATGATGCCAAAGAGGCCCCTTTTGTCTGTGGCAAAAGAGAAGGTTGTCTGTGCCTTCCAGGCTGGGAGTGAGGAGGAGGAGGAGATGGGCTTAAGTCAGAGTCCTGCAAAGGGTGCAGTCTCCGCACCCCTGTGCTAGAACTCTGGCAAGGGGGTCACTCCTCTCCTTTCCATTAACAGAATGAGGAGTGGGTATCACCCAGTTCTCCAAGGCAGGGCTTCCCAGCCCCAGCGGCACATGAGATCACCTGAGGACCTCTTAATAACCCCTTACCTGAACCACCTCCTGACCAAGGAAAGGAGCAGCTCTGGGAAGTGGAACCAGGAACAGGTATTTTGGGAAATTCCCCCGGTGTGCAGCCAAGTTTGAGAACCACCAGTTTTGCAGTCCGTCTCAAACTGTAATATTCTGGGATCTTGTCAAAAATCTAAGTCCAAAGTTCAGCACATGAGGGCTGGGCCTGAAGTTCTGGAGGTCAAACAAGGAATGCTGACACCACCAGTCCATGGAACACACTTTACACACTTCATGTAGCCAAGCTCCAGGAGAACTTAGGAGTCTCTAATAACACCCTGTACTTCTTCCTGATTTGACGGGAGCAATGACTTGAGGAGATGAGAGAGCAGACTTCTATGTCTGGAAGGGATTGCTAGGCTAGAAGCCATGTCCATGCATCTGGATATTCTCTTCAACGGAGGAGAGATTTGACAGAGGAACCAGCACTGACTTCAGGGTGGAGTGCAATAGAAAACCTTCAAAGCCTAGATGAGAGGAACGGCAGGATAAGGGGTCACTTCCCACAAGCCAGCTCCACACCTGAGGCTAATGGTGGCGACACCTATCTTAATGCTGGCAGAACTGAGTGACACAAAGCCCCATTTGGTATTGTCAAAAACCACCTGGCTCAACAGGGTGACGGGATCCCAGCTTGGTTAAGCAATGAGAAGGATGAGGCATTTACTTGTCTTCAGTGGGCAGTGGGGTGCGGGGGGTAGGGGGTGGTCCTAGCATCTCAAATAGAGCTGACGTGCTCTGCCCACAACAGGGTAAGCTTTCTTGCTGCCCCTTCTTTTTCTGTTTCAGAGTCAGTCATCGTCTTAGAGAATAAGAGAAGGATCAGCATCTCATCATTACGGGTTTCTCAAGGTTAGCAGGTACAGCACACACAGTCTTTGAGCCACGATACCCAAGCATTCCCTACTTCAACACGCAGGTCAGATGACATGAGCAGGACAAGGTCAAGCATTGATCCAGTGGGATTTGCACACAGTACTCTCCCCAAAGCTTTCTCATTGATAAGATGGAAGGAACAAAGCAACCTGCCTCATTGGATTCTTGTGAAAATTAAGTGTGTAGGCAGCAGGGCACACAGCACAATACCTGGTACATAGTAAATGCTCAATAAAGGCTAGTTGCTATTATAATTATGATAGTACACAAGATTGCCGGGAGAGGTATCAATAACCTCAGATATGCAGATGACACCACCCTTATGGGAGAAGGTGAAGAAGAACTGAAGAGCCTCTTGATGAAAGTGAAAGAGGAGAGTGAAAAAGTTGGCTTAAAACTCAACATTCAGAAAACTAAGACCGTGGCATCTGGTCCCATCACTTCATGGCAAATAGATGGGGAAACAATGAGAGACTTTATTTTTGGGGGTCCAAATCACTGCAGATGGTGACTACAGCCATGAAATTAAAAGAAGCTTGCTCCTTGGAAGAAAAGTTATGACCAGTCTAAACAGCATATTAAAAAGCAGAGACATTACTTTGCCAACAAAGGTCCATCTAATCAAAGCTATGGTTTTTCCAGTAGTCATGTATGGTTTATCCAGTAGATGTGAGAGTTGGACTATAAAGAAAGCTGAGTGCTGAAGAATTGATGGTTTTGAACTGTGGTGTTGGAGAAGGCTCTTGAGAGTCCCTTGGACTGCAAGGAGATCCAACCAGTCCATCCTAAAGGAGATCAGTCCTGGGTGTTCATCGGAAGGACTGATGTTGAAGCTGAAACTCCAATATTTTGGCCACCTGATGTGAAGAATTGACTCACTGGAAAAGACCCAGATGCTGGGAGAGATTGAAGGTGGGAGGAGAAGGGGATGACAGAGGATGAGATGGCTGGATGGCATCACCAACTCAATGGACATGAGTTGAGTAAACTCCAGGAGTTGGTGATGGACAGGGAGGCCTGGCGCGCTGCAGTCCATGGGATCAAAAAGAGTCGGATACAACTGAGCAACCGAGCAGAACTGAACTCATGATCACTATTAAAATAACAATATTCAGCTCACAGGATATGAAAACCCCAGCATAGTGCTCAATCAGCCTTTTGGTGCCTTCCGTCTACCCCTCCGCCAACTTCTCAACCTCGGCCCTAAACATGGTCCCAAGCCCCATTCAAAAGCACAGAGGTTTAGAATGCAAATTCCACTGGCAGAAGCCAGCCAGACCTGACTGCTTTTCTGAGAAGAGATCTTCCTGGTGGGAAGGAAAAGGAAAGGGTCAGGCTTGGGGAAAGAGTGCCCATTAGGAGACCACAAGTGAAGGGCTTAGGACCCCGTGCCATGCAGGTGCTCCTCAGTCATGGCCAGCATCCCTGTCCCCTGGAAGAAGACGGGCCACCCACACCTAAGAGATGAAATATGTGCCTTTGCACCAGGGCACTCTTTGCACACATCTGCACGCTAGAAGAATGCCTTCAGAAATCATTTCTACATCACTGGAGGAGAGGGACATGGGAAGGGGTGTGGTGTGAAGAATTTGAGGCTTGATAGAGAGAGCAGCTGCCCAGTTCCGCCTCTCCTCTGCCTCCTGTGAGCCAGAGTAGAGAGACGCCTTCCTCTCCCTGGAGTACTTGGTCACACAACGGGCTCGAGCATTTTATTTGGTCAAGCCAGCAACTCCCGGTGTGGGTAACCACAACCTGGCAGAAGAAGCAACGTCCAGTAGGCATGGCGGTGCCCAGGACAGGCCGCAGTGCCCAGTGAGATGGGAGGATGGAGGGAGGTGCCCATACTCCCTAGTCCAAGCTCTTAATGCCTGCCACACAACAGGCCAACCAGTCTAGAGAGTGTTGGGGTGGGGCAAGGAATAGCCACTTTATTTGGAGAGCCAGCAGACCAAGGAAATGGTGGTCTAGTGTCCCAAACAACCATCTTGCCTGGGTTGGATGCTAATTTTTTTTTTTAATAGAACAAAGAGGGGGAGGTGAGGCAGTAAAGTAAACAGCAATAAGTTATTGCAAATATTTCCTGGTTCTGGCCCAATAGAAGCAACAATCTAGGCCAAGGGGCAGCGAAAGAGGTGGGAGGGCTGGGGACACCATGTGGTTGCCAAGTGGGCTTGGGTTTGAGCTTCCAGAGGGCTCCCAGGAAACTTGTACAGGAGGTTTTGCCAGGAACCTGCCTGGGTGGAGTGATTACTGTCCATATCATCTGAGTTTTCACCCAAGCCTGGGAGGGCCCGAGGAACCCTGGGGTATTTGTCAATATGTCAGCACCACTGGGGTGAAGCCTGCTCTTTGCATGTTGCCCTTGAGCATGCACCCCCCTCCTCTCTCTCTTTTCTTTGACTTTCTGGGTTTCTGTCTGCCTCTGCCTTCCCTCCTCCTCTCCATCTCCACATCTGTCTTTGTTTTGTTCACCCCCTCTCATTCCCCATGTAATGCCTGACCCAGGACAAGCATTCAACAAATATTTTTTTAACTTCATACTATGGAAAAAGTCAAACACACAGAATCAGGAACTTCTGTGTGCCCATCACCCATCTTCAACAATACATATACCTACGGCTGATTCATGCTGATATATGGCAGAAACCAATCCAATATTGTAAAGCAATTATCCTCCAATTATAAATAAAGTTTAAAAAATAACCTATGGCAACAATCATGGACATCCCCTCCCACTGCTGCCCCGACACTATATTGAAGCAGGCTCAGACACTGAATCATAAATATTTCAGATATCTCCAAATAACAAGCACTCTGTAAATACCACAACTGTGATCCCATTAACACACTCAAAAATGATCAAACGTCAAGTTAATATTATCAAACACCAAGTTATTGTTCAAATGTCTCCAACTGTCTGATAAATTTTTAACAGTTTCTTAATTCAAACTGCCTACATACAATCCACTAATGGTTCTGCTAACAAGTGTCTAAACTCTTCCAAGTCCCTTTTTCAGCTGCATTCAACAAATGTTTCAGCTGATTCCAACACTGTCTGTTTCTCTGTGACTTCCTATTTTTCTGTCTCCCCGGTACGCACATCTGTCTTCCTGTTCCCCACTTTAGTTTCTGTCTGTCTTTGTGTGTTTATTTCTATGTAACTGTATCTCTCTATGGACATTTTTCTCTCTGGGCCTTTATCTGTACCTTGCTCTCCCTCTGCCTCCTTCCCAAGCCCTGTCTTTGTCTCTCTCTCTCTCTCTCTCTCTCTCTCTCTCTCACACACACACACACACACACAGAGGCAAGTTACTAAGGGTACCCTGCACCCACCTTTGACTGAAAGCGTATGAAGAGTTGGGTCCCTGCCTGAAATGTTGGTGCACCTTTATAGAGGCACCTTCTGCTTTTTTGCATTAAGCCCATTCTGCTGGCTCTCTCGAGACCCTCCACTTACTGAGCACCCCTCAATGATCTCCATGCAGGAGACAGCTGGGCACGGAACAGAATAACCAGCGTGAAGGCTAAGAGTGCTGCAGATGTCAGTGG